TTTCTTTAATGAGACTGTGACAGCTGGATCGACGTCAACGGACGCTGCATACAATACAAACGACGTGGCGTACCCAGACCCTGCCATTGGGCGAAAGAAAGCATGTTTTCAGCCAGCACATCCTGAAAAAAGACAAAAACAAATTAGACCGTCTACTGTGACTTTCATATCGGAAAGCCCTCAATCTACCCTCATGGGTCATAAATGACAGATTACTTGCGATGGGCACAGCGTCAGAGCTCTTCGAAGCTCATCACACAAACCAAGTGATTTGGCTCGCACGTGCAGAGGCAGGTCGCGCCATGCTAGATGCTGTCGGCATAAATCCACCAACGGAGGTCGCTGGCAAACTATCACTGCCGCAAAAATGCCAAAAGGAAGTCCATATTCGGCCTTTGCCACGCATTATGCACCCCGCCCATCACAAAAACAGACGAGCTGTCAGAGCTAAAGTGTATGACAAATATTCATATTGTGAAGACGCCTTCTTTGTGGATGCTGACGGACCTTTGCACAACTGCGCCACAGCAGCCATGGTAGACAGGGGACAGGTCGTTGACTGCATCTCAGCTAGCGGGGTAATCATCACATTCATGTAAGAGGCCGGTATAGCCTTAGCCACACGTAACCCAAAAACCACCTTTGTCCTCACGGATTCTCAGGTGGCGTATCGCAAGTCGGCCGGTTAGCACATTCAATTCTGCAACAGGCTGTGGCCCGTCGTCAAGAGGGTCAGTTGATACAACTGCTATGGGTACCACGGCAAACAGGAGTCGGAGGCAGTTAACGCGCTAATGCCTCCGCTCGTGATCTCTTACACTGGGCCTCTATTGTTTCATTCCCAGCGCATCTTCTTGCTGACCACAATGATCCCCAGCCACTCCTTTCGTATACTGATATCCTGCAACGTATCATGCTGAGTAGATGCACTCTATCCCCACCTGACCCTAAATTAGATAAGGCATCACAATTCGCGTGGATACGACTACAATAATAAGCATTTCCGAATCCCTATGTATTGTCATAGACAGACCCTTCGATGTACAATCCGCAGTGTAAATTCTGTGCCCAGACGGCCCCATTATTTCACATGGTCTGGGTTGGTTGGTTGGTTGCGAAACTTTATTGAGGTCCTGCAAGGCGCGCGTCAGCGCGCAGTGGGCGATTCCCACGTCGGGACCGTTAGGCCAAGCCTATCGGCCGCTCCGCGGGCCTGCTGGACGGCCCAAAGTTGGTCGGCCAGGAGGGAGCTGCGTAGGGCCGCCTCCCACCTGACCGATGTAGTGTTGGGGTTAGTGTACATTGCCTTGCACTCCCAGAGCATGTGCGCCAGCGTGGATACATCCCCACAGGCGGGGCAAGCGTCATTTGGAAACACGTCAGGATAAATAGCGTGAAGGGATCTCAGGTTAGGGTACGTGTCGGTCTGCAGTAGTCTGAGCGTAAGGACCTGTGGCCTATTAAGATTTGGATGAGGGAGTGGATATAGCCTCCGCGCGAGGTAAAAATATTTTGTTATTTCGTTGTACGTGGCAGGCGCGTCCCTGTTTTCCGCAACCCCGTTGGCCCCGAATCGTTGCCCAGAACCCGCGCGGTCGGTTAGTGCGCGCGCGGCCTCGTGGGCAGACTCGTTGAGGTTGGGGGGAGCGCCTTAGACCTGTCCAACATGTGCAGGAAACCAAATCAGTACGTGGTGCTTGATGCCGTCGCGGCCACCACTTTGGAGCACGTGCAGGGCTTTCTTGGAGATTACACCGCGCTCGAAAGCGCGAATAGCGGACCTAGAGTCACTATAAATGACCTCCCTTTCACCTTCCAGGATGGCCAGGGCGATGGCCACTTGCTCGGCAACCGTCGGATCGTCAGTGTGAACCGATGCGCAGTTGGTGATTTGTTGTTTGGAGTCGACGACAACTGCGGAGAAGGCGCGGCTCCCACGGTACGCGGCCGCGTCGACAAAGCTGACGCCGTGCTCCTCACTGTGAATCTGCTTGAGAAGAGTGGCAGCTCTAGCCCGTCACCTACCACGATTGTGCTCGGGATGGACATTCCTCGGTATCGGTGCCACGGTGATGAGGTCACGAATCTCACGGGGCACCTGTCTCATCTTCTCGTCCACTTCAGCCGGAGAGTGACCGAGCTTTCGGAGTATATGTCTGCCGGTCTGGGAGCTCGAAAGGCGCGCGAGCTGGGCCCGCTCCTGCGCTTCAGCAATCTCCTCCAACGTATTGTGTACTCCGAGCTGGAGCAGGCGCTCGGTGCGCGTCTTGATCGGGATACCAAGGGCCCGCTTGGTAATCTTTCTGAGCAAGACGTTGATCTTGTTACGCTCGGCACGCTGCCAATTGTGCATGGCCGCGACATATGAAAAGTGGCAGAGCACAAAGGCATTGACTAGGCGGATTAGGTTGTCTTCCTTGAGGCCTTGGTAGTGGTTGGCCACCCGCCGAACCAGCCGAACCGCGTTATCTGTCTTGGCGGCGAGCTTGAGTATAGTCTTGCCGTTGGAACCATTGGACTCGATGGTCATGCCGAGGACCCGAATGGAGTCAACTCTGGGTATTGCACTGCCATCTCCGGTGTAGAGCTTGATATCACTCTTCGAGATCGGCTGCCAGTTTTCGGGCTTGGGCCCTCGCCTAGTGGGTTGGTAAAGGAGAAGCTCGGACTTGCTTGGGGAACACCTCAGGCCTGTGGGACGGAGGTAATCTTCCGTGGTGTCTATGGCCCTCCTGCTGGGAGCGCTCGACTTGCCCGTCGCTGCCACCTGTGCACCAAATGGTAATATCGTCCGCGTAAATTGTGTGGTTAATGCTTTTGATACATGAGAGCTTCTTGGACAACCGGACCATGACAAGATTGAACAGGGTGGGCGATATCACTGACCCTTGTGGCGCGCCGCGCGATCCCAGCTCGATCTCCTCGGAGACAAGGTCTCCCACACTGAGGGTGGCTCTCCTACGGGTCAAGAACGATTTGACATATTTGTAGAATCTGACTCCAAGGCCGAGCTCAGCAATCGACCGCAACACGAAAGAGTGAGCAACATTGTCGAAGGCTTTCTCTAAGTCGAGGCCGAGAATGGCCCGCATGTCTCGAGTGTTGCAGTCAATGACTTGGTGCTTGAGCAGCTTCATAGCGTCTTGCGACATGGTCTGGGAGCGCCAAAATATACCTGGTATATTGAACAATCATAATCCTACATAAGTCGATTGGGAGGCGACCCTGTCCAGCTTTGACCCAGTGCAGCAACAAGCCCTGGTCCACCGAGCTCGGATGTCGGCAAGAGCCAATGGTCTTCTGGAGCAGGAGGTCCAACCACTATAGCGACCTATTTATTGCCGATAAATGTTTTGTTCTCTCTCTCTCTCGGCTAGTACATGCACGCGCCTGTTGTGTTTCCACCTCGCACTCTGATGAAGTTCACTAGGAGTGTGTTCAAAGGAGCCGATGAACGCAGTCTAGCGAAGGAAAGAGCGAAACGAGAAAACGCGTGCGTTTCCACCAGCGTTCACTGCAGACTCCTGCACAACTGCAATGTCACATTGCTACATCTGCGTTGCTCTCTCTGGGTGGTTTACGGGCCCTTTAAAGGCAGCGCTAGGAGCCCCCAATATTTAGTTAGTAATACACCAAGATGCCTGTAAGTCGAATTGCTTGCTAGATGCATGCAGGCGAAGCAACACCAAAATCAAGCTTTCACGTGAATATCGAAACTCTGGTCATCATCACTATGTGAACAATTTTTATGATTATTTTTTGCTCTGAACTTCAATGTCACAATGCTGAATACGTCTTCAATCTCCTACTATGTTCATGAGATTCATACCGTTCATTCATGAAATAAAAATTACCTTGCACGTCTTAGCTCGTGACAAACCTGAAACATTGAGTTTATACAATATATACAGCACACAAAAAATCAGAATACGCAGTACCTTATGTTAAAGAAACGCAGAAAGACCCGCCCTTGAAATTCGTGAAAGGGCAGTACAAGTATGAAGCTGTGGTGGTAAACGGCCATCAGTCTTGCGGTACTGCCGGTGCAAGTAAATATTTGACGATATCTGCCATTTGTTGTGTTGATTTCTAGACCGATTCACTTCACAAGCTCGTGCCATCTTGTCTTTTTTGGGCATGTGCCATGACATTTTAATGCGATTTGAGAGGAAATAAAGCGGACAAATGTTCACACTTTCCATCAGTGAGATTCTGTCGATGGAAAGGACGACTTTTTCTGTCCCCTATGTTTTTCTTGAATGAATTGTCTGTACAAGTATTTCTCGAAACGTCATACTACTACAGCTAGGGTTAGCTAAAATAGCTAGAATAAGAGCTAAATCTCGAATAATAAGGAAAACAGCTACTCGCAGATAATTAAATTTTTTGGTGGCCAGCAGAGTCCAAAAGTACCTAGATCTTGCTACAAAAGAGCTAAATTGGCAACACCGTGCGTAAACAATTCTTCTAGTCGTCTCCTTTCAGGTCACATTTAAACTCCTGCTGTAACATCTAACATAGAAGCCACCATCATCTAAATATCACCCCTTAGGTTGCAGGTACAGAGCCATTTTATGAGGGATTCGTTTTATTTTTGCACTCGAAAACTAGATTTCGTTTCTCCGGTATACTTGTTTCTTTAAAAGTATGCTTAGAAGATATTGCATGAATGAAATATTTAATTTATTATGCTTGTTTGTACTCATGTTGTCGATATTGTTCATTGTTCGTTGCTTACACGCGCTCCTGCAATGTCCCACGAGGGCTGAAGCATGTACAAATAAATCTATATATAGTAGAAGTACATTGAGAAACGATGTTACTATGAAGAGAGACAATAAGAAAACGATAGAAGGGAATAACAATTTATCATCCTGAGTGGGCCGTCAAGGACGATAGTTGCGACAGGAGCCCTTCAGGAAAAAACAAAGTAATAGTGATCGATATGTACACGGCTATATAATGCACCCTCTGGTACAAAGCAAACAACTTGTCGAAGGACTTGAAGGATCCACTCAAGAGTCTCAGATAACATAGGTGAGTAAACCGACAACTGCAGAAAAGCTTCTTATGAGGTTCTCGAAAGAAAATTCGAATAGTTCCAGAGGATCCCTACAACAGTTTCACGAGATGAGAACACGAAAGCGTGTCTTTTGGCTAAGTTTTAGACGAGGTGCATGGAAGTAGTGTTGCTGAGTTGTGTTAATAAATAAAGTGCGCTGCTTCCACTGGTGGCGTGAGGGTAAAACCAACAGAGCTAGTGTTTTTTTTTTTTTGTAGTCACGCCAAGCTTTTGATGTAGGCGCGATCTTTTTGCGTCTAGTACTTCAAATGACCAAGGTGGAAATGTTGTAGGCCCGTGTGCTCAGATTTGGGTTCATATTAAAAAACCACCGGTGGTCAAATTTCCGGAGCCCTTCACCAAGGCGTCTTTCATAATTACATGGTGGTTTTGGGACGTTAAATTCCAGATATCAATCAGTACTTAGTATGACTACACTTGGCTAATTATTCTTCGGCTTCAGTCTTTTTTTTACTCCACAATGAGCATGGGTCACGTGGTTCCAGTGATAACTTGTGCCATGACTAGTTCGTTACATGGATTTGGCAGAAATACGTCAAGTAAGACTGTTTACGTGATGCTGGGTGATGTTTGACTACGCGACCATCTCTTACGCGAAGTTACGTCACAGTAGATGTGCGACCAGCTGCAACGTGACTTTCAGGCGGGAATATGGCACGTGACTGTTACGTAGTTTTCCACCAGAAAATTCCTCATGGATAGCTGTTAGTTGGTGTTACGCGACTAGCTGTTTTGTGTTTTGAAGGGAACATGTCCCATGACAAGCTGTTACGTGAAGTTTCGTGTTTTTTTGTTCGTTGACAATTTGCTACGTGTGGTTACTAAATCCCATAGTCCCGTGAATGGCTTTTTACGTGTTGTTACACAATTTTTATTCACGTAACAGACTCGCTCATTTCATTCCACGCCGGACAAATTGGTGCATGTGTTGTGGCATGGAGAAAAAAATGGCCCCGTATCTGCATTTAATCTGCAAATGTCGTCGGAAGACAATAGTCTTGCGTGTGGAGAGAGTAAACAAAAATTTGTTTATTATTTTGCTCAAGAAAATCGGTGAATGGTATTCTGAGGACGCTGCGTTAGAGGGCTTCGAGCGTGCAGCGGAGGCGAACGAGCGCATGAAGTCACGTCATACGTGAGACATGAGCGCCATCCAGCAGTTTTCTCAGAAAACAAAACGCGCGGCTCTGAGACGGGTGCGCGCACTCATCTCAGAGGTGATAAGGTGTAGAACGCAAGGCGACGGGTAGGTGCCACCACTTTTAGCTAAGCGTTGGAAACGCTTGGCTTTCCGTGCAAACGTTGGATGGTCAGCACAGCGTGATAAGCGCTACGGTCCTTAAAATACTTATTTGTGCCTTTTCTAGTAAGGCTCACATGCAGAATATATACGTGTAGTATGGTGCCACTGACATGCACAATAATTGATTTTTATTCTACAATCGCACAACTATAAACGCTGAATCTTGAGCAACATAGGTTGGCGCTGCGGATGTGGTCGGCCGTTTCGAATAACCGATGTTGTTAAGAGTGGACAGACAGACAGACAGACAGACCAGAATGTTTGCGTCGAAGGTCCCCTAGAAAGACTAGCGTCTTTAAAAAAAGAAAAGTGAGAGAAACACGTCACACCAGCTGAAGCCAACCGTGTCGGCCCAACACGGGATGAAAACGTCAGAGCATACGGTAGGTTTTAACACTTTCTTCGGGGGTTACGTTTTCGAACCTTCTGTGTTAGCCAGCTGGTCTACAACGAACAGATGCGTTTTGGATAAAACCTACTGGGCGCCACACTCTGAAGTGTCAGCAAATCTCGTTGCTTGCGTGTTATTGAATGCGAGAAGTATTTTCACAATCAAAGATGAATTGGCAACAGTTCGTAACATGGCTGTCAGAGCGTTGTGTGTGGAGTCTTACGTCTCCGCTGGTGCCGGTGATGGTGCACTTACGCTATTGTACATAGACACCAGCATTGCCTTTTGATTCTAGTAGTATGATCCTAGATGCCAATAGCACCTGCAGCTCCATGTGTGACACGTTGGTTAATGTGAGGACAATGCATAGCAAAAAAGGTAAGCCACTCAGCGCATTCCGATTGAAGTTGTTTGTCCATAACATTATAACCTCAGGAAGTGCGAACGAAGTGTTTTTATCACGAGTATTTAGCTTCAACTTCAAACGCGCGTACGCTTTCAAACGCGTTAACACGCACTGCTCCGCGCCAGCATTAGCCAGAAAGGACGGGTTACATGTTGACATGCGTTGAAGACAAGAGATAATGCTGCCAGCTTTGGAGGCGTGCTACAGATTGTTATCAATGAATTGAAGAGTATTATAGCCTCAATAACAGTGGCATATGAAGCAATCGTGATTCAGGAGAGCTAATTCAAACAGTCGCGAAAAATAGCGGGCTGATTCAAACACTGGCAAAGATACGTGAATGTCCTCATTGTCTGATGTTTCTTTGTGAATGATTGGATTAGCACGATGTTTTTTTTCTCTACGCTGCATGTATCATCTAATGTATTTGCCCAAGGTTGGACACGTTGCAAATGAATTAAAATTATATAGAATGACAAGATATAAGAAAAAGGCAAAATACATGAGAATAGGAATATGTGAGGCAGACCAAGACGCAGGAAAAGAAGAGTGTCAGTTTTTGGTAGGCGATTCAACTGACGGTGCCTTCTACTGATGCCGCGGTGAACAATTTTTGTTGCCTCAAAGAGGAGGCCTTAACGTTCTGCTAAACCGCATATTTGAAAACGAGTGAAGGGGGTTCACTTAGAGAAATAAAAATTGGCCCCGTATCTGCAATTATTCTGCAAATGTCATCGAAAGACGATAGTCTTGCGTGTGGAGAGAGTGAACAAAACCTTTTTTAATGTTCTGCTCAAGAAAATCGGTGAATGGTGTTCTGAAGGCACTGCGTTAGAGTGCGTCAAGCATGCAGAGGAGGTGAACGAGTGTATGAAGTCACGTCACACGTGAGACATGAGCGCCATCTGGCAGTTTTTTACGAAAATGAAACGCGCGGCTCTGAAATTAACGTGTGCGCCCGTCGCAGAGGTGATAATGTCTAGAACTCAAGGCGACGGGTAGGGGCCACCACCATCTCGTATTAGCAAAGCATTGGAAACAATCGCCTTTTCGTGCAAGGGTTGCGTGGTCAAGGGTTTCGTGCAAGGGTTTCGTGCAAGGGTTGCGTGGTACCCGGTTCCGTTAAGAGTGAACAAACAGACAAATGTTCAGACAGAAAGGCAGACAGGCAGACAGACAGACTAAAATATTTGCGTCGAAGGTCCCCAAGAAAGACTATCGTCTTTAAAATAGGGAACATGAAAGCTTCGCTTTTAGGAGTTGAATGAGATAGTGATGTCCTGTTCCTAAAGCGTGTTTAAAACATGTAAAGCATGAAACTTTTTGGAAAGTGGTCGAAATTTCCGGAGCCCTCCACTACGGCGTCTCTCATAATCATATGGTGGTTTCGGGACGTTAAACCCCACAAATCAATCAACTTTTTGGAAATTGTTATGCACCCACTACGTGGCATTGAAATAGTTGACACAGTATAGTGTTTCGCCTTTCGTAGTGAGTCACCAGCTTTAAACCACGAAGTCATTATGATAATCACATGTTCTGGCGCCCGCTGGCAAGGTGTGCCAGTTACAAGTATAATTATTTGCTGGAAAATTTTATGTTGCATTGCGAATGATTTATAAATAACGCGTGTGCTTAGAAGGTATAAAGGCTACTTTCACTGCGTTTCCAAGCACAGGAAGATATTTTCACTGTATTCACAAGCAGATGCGTGGCCGTGTGGTAGAACACCCGCTTGCCATGAAATTGACCCGGATTCAATCTCCACTTGGGCCTAAGCGAGCCCGGTTTGATCCCAACACTGCCTTAAACTGTTATTAATCTATTTTATTTGCATCATTCTCAATTTCTCGCTCACAATCAGTGACACCAATGCTGGCGCCAGAATTTCTGCGAAACGAGCTCTTTGAAGCGTTAATATTTCAGCACAAACACATGATCATTCACAGATGCTCACACTTCCACTAATATATTCGGTGACGAGCTAAGAAAAAAAATTCGGCAGATCAGCGTATTCGGGAATCGACGTTATGCGAAGCTTGCTGAGGGAAGATGACCGCGTTGCAATTTTTCGAGGGAGCGATACGTCATGAAATGACGCTAAATATATGTACAAATGCTGCACGTACAGACATATGTTGAAGAGTTGCAGATGTTTATACAAGTAGTTGTCTGCACTTGCGCAACGATGTCAATTGGAACATGCGTATTAGCAACACCAGAAGCTGATATTAAGGGCTGATGCTCGCGAGGATGCTGGCCCTGGACACTGTTACATGAATGAATTTCAGCGCATGACAAGTAACCACAACTGACGTTAACCCGACGGGACGGCTGTATCAATGGAGTACATATGTAATGTTTATAAATTGGGTATGCAGCACTGCAACCGCTATTGACGTTTGACGAAGATAAGCGTATATTTGAAAAGTAGTTCCGAGACCTCGCGTAGCTTTGTGGTAAAATGCTTCATTTCCACGCAGAATGCTTGGGTTCGATTCCAGCTGGAACTCTGACATTTATTCATTGCATTCGTCTGCTCAACGCTACCGACGTCGGGTATTTCGAAACGTTCGCCTGTTAAAATTGTCCATGTCTGTTCTTGTCGTTCCTGAGTAGATACTAAGTGCCAATCACCAGTGGCACATACCCGTATACAAGCAGCACATACGTGCCCATGGGTATGTGCCTCTGTCTGGCGGGAAGTGTTTAACGACGTACGCGACGGGATTGTGACAATATTCACGTCTTGATCAGCGCGTCATATTCGTCAAACCATCTTACCCTCCCATGCTAGTTTTGGTTCATGGCATGTTAAGGGGGTGACCACGAGTGCACCCACACGTGGCGGCTA